AATATTTATAAATATTAAACCAAAGCCAAGAGTTACGAGTAATGTCTGTTTTAAAAATGTAGGGAATAGACAGTACAGATACTTGTATGAAAATGTAATGAGTAGAAGTCAGAAGTAGGAAGAAAAATAAGTAATGGAGTAAAGTATAGATACCTAAAAAGTGTACTTAAGTACAGTAACGAAGTATTTGTACTTTGTTACTTGACACCTCTGATACTGAGGGGTGACCAAAAGTGGATAGGCACCAGAACCTCAGGGTCAATCTAAACTGTTCCAACAGGAACAAGCACAACGTCCACATTTCTAAATAAAGACAAACTATAGTTTCCTACAGCCTTTGCTAACAAATAGATGCATATATTTAAACATCTGTCTAGATAAAAGGTATATTGGATAAAATTCTTTGAGGTTTGAATCATGGAGTGAACATCTTTTTCCATCATCATTACTTACCTACTTTTATCAATGTCATTCTACATTAAAGTGATATTTACAAGTACTAATATCTACATAAATCCATAATTTAAAATGTTTTTATTAAAATAGTTATTTACAGTATCAATGATTTCACTGAAGACTTTTAGATGTCTTCAGAGACATAATTTTCTCTTTATGGAATATAACACAAAATCTAGTTCTGAAAGAGCATGAATTATGTACTAATTATCTCTAATGCTGGTATATTGATGTGCATAGTTAACTACAGTGTTTTTGTTGTCAAGTCGTTGTTAATATATGAAAAAAATAGTAGGGGTGGCCACAGATGTGGCCAATGATTGGCTAAGAGTGGCAATGGGCAGCTCTGGCGCCCCATCTAGCTCCGCCCCTGGTACAGTGGATCCAGGCAGTTGGCACAGCACTTCATGCTGCAAAGATTCAGCTCAGGTTTTTGCACAAAAACCCAAATGCAACCCCCACTAAAAAAATAGGCTATAAAAATAAAATATACAAGTAAGTGTTTTGAGCATTTGCAATAACAGATGAATAAATAGATAAACACAGATGCATCCTGTGGCTGCACTGTTCAACATCACATTACATGATTTGTATGCAGCTGTTGTAAATTTAGTAGGTAATAGTTTGCCCGCTAGGGCACACTGAGCTAAACTAAAGCAAATACTTTGAAGGAATTGTCTGCAGAACGCTAAGAAAAGACTGTGTCCAGGCTGAAATGCGTCAAAAAAACAAACAAAACAAAAAAAAAAGTGAAAAGCACTAGGGTCTCATTCTATCAAAATATCTGCTGCGGAATCTACTCAGACACTCTAAATAGATTTAAAGTACAGAGTTTTTGTCATGATCTTGCTGATGACTGGCTTAATTGCTTATTTCATTCACCTCTCTAACTCTTCCCCATTTTCTCATTACTGCTCATCTAATCCACCTGCTCCTGCCTCTATTTAAACTGCTTGCTCCCAGTCAACAGTGCCAGATTATTCTAGAGCCTTTGATGAGAGAGTTTTCTAGCTTTATAGTGTTCTGATTGCCTGATCCTGACCCATTTCTGTCACATTTCTGCCACTGTTCTGATCTTTTTGCCTGAGCTGTCTTCGCATTCTGTTTGATTCTATTTCTGGATGTGCCTCTTGACTGTTGATTATCCTGCCTTCCTCCGTCATCTGCTCGGATCTGATCTGCAGTCAGCTTTGTGTCCTTCAAGGTTTCAACGTCTGGAACTCTCTATCCGGCAGAGTCGTTGCGACTTGACAGCTGGTCTGCTGGTATCAACCTCGTACTCTGGGCACGGGCTGAACTCTAAACCAGAGTTACCATCCTTGGATCCCCTAGCAGTTGCTGCTGCAGATCTGCAAACTGTTGCCTTCATAAACAATTTTTAAATTATGCCACTTTCTGTCTTGCCTGAATACTGGGTCCTTCTGTTCTGAGTCAATACACTTTAGCTAAATTATGAGAAGTATTGAGAAAAAAGAAGTACTTTGTTCTTTCTACTTAAAAACATTGTAAAAGGTTTTGCAATATTTTGTACCTAAACACCTTTCACTATTATTTGTAAAACAAAATTCTTATTTTATGTTTTGTTCAATAAACCAACTGCAACATTTTGGTTCAACTAGCTCACACCAGCAGGTTTAAACATACGGTGATGGACTTAACTGACTTCTTTTGTCAGACTTTAACCAGGACTCAGTATAGAGATAAGTTGAGGTGAACAGTTTACACATTGGATAAGATAATCAAATGGAGCCTAAATTGCAGTTTTACCTTTCCAGAATGTAAAACCAAATTTAACATTAGAGTTCCGTGGTTCCTAGCATTATAAATTGTTCTTTCAAAAAAGACACAAAAAAAACCACCAGTGAGGCTACATTAATAGCATATAGTGATGTGACAAGCTTGAACTCCTAACAGATTTCTTCTGTTTTTACTCTTCATGTCAGAATTGAAGGGTTGACAGTTGTAGTTGATCATATCTTAATATGACTTAAGCTAAAAGTGCAACAACTTATTTTTTTCCATCAGTTTAAATAAAACTATAAAGAAAAAAAATAAACTGGTACAAGGGACCAACCATTTAAGGTTTCTATGCCAGCATATATACTTTATCATGAATGTATTTAGTATTACGTCTTTCCAACAGGGGCCATAACAGTGGCAGGAGCAGTTCTACAGGGGCCCTGGCCCATGGTGTTAGAGAATCAGACATAGATAAAGTAAGTAAACATAAAAAGCAGTTTCACATCATAATATTCCTCATTAAGAGAACCATTTTATTCAAACCAACTCTGCCTTGTGTCAAAAGTGATTACTGTTATTACCACAGTTATTAACTGGTTTCTACTTGTTTGTATAACCGATAAATGGTAATGAGTCTCTAAAACCACTGCATAGAAACTCGAAACCGTTAAGTACCTGATTTTTCTGACCACGTAATGCAGGGGTTTATTAATGTATGATTTCCTTATCACCAGTCTTTCAATATACGACATGTCAGAGCCACAAACCTGTAGGGATTCAATGTTAAGATAGAGGGTTTTTGTTTGTTTGGTTTTTTTTTTAGAAACCAGGAGGATTGTGGAGTTCATTTCTGGCTCTGTGTCAGGATAAGGTGGACCAGGCAGTCTTCAGAAAGCCCTCAGGCTGCAAAGGGGACAGAGCAATAAAGTAGCAGTGGTCCGGTGTTAGTGTCCATGATGAGACACTTAAAGGTCAAATGAAAATTGTTTTAAAGCCACCATAATTTAAAAAGAAACATATTTATGCTGGATTTAAAACTGCAGGACATAAACAAAACTTTGCAATGAGCTTATGGTAATTATTAAAAAATTACATTTTCATTTTAAAGGTATAGGGAGGATTTTCGCGAATTTTTGCAATTTTTCTCCACTTAAAAAAAATATATATATATATATACATGCACAACCCTGTTCCCGCTTTGTTTAAAAGTTGCTGTTTGCATCACTCATACAAGCTTACATTCCAAAAGAAGACTAGCAGTTTTTCCACTATGTGAGAGTCACCCCCGATAAGTGAAAACGGGGAGGAGCACGTAGGACAATCCTATGTAAACATATCACCAAAATGATTGACAATTAGGCGGACCACTTATTTTGATGATCCACCCGGAAAAAGAACATCCTCCACTTTACCTTTAACTGATGGCATTTTTCATGTGATGTAACTGGTGATAATGCAGATCTCAAGCTTGTAGTAATTCAGTAGCAAGTAGACATTTCATTGATGGGGCTGATACACCATAAACTGATTTTCTAATTCAATTCAATTCAGTTTATTTATATAGTGCCAATTCACAACACATGTCATCTCAAGGCACTTTACAGTTTAATCAGATCATACAGTCAAATTGATTCAAAGTTTTCTAAGCATTTTCTACCACCATAAATCATAAGAAGAAATGTTTTTTTTTTTTTTTTTTACTGTTATGGATGAGTGGTTCAAGTTATTTCAGTGCATCAGATTTAACAGTTCATTCCTCACCTTCCCAAAGAAATTTTCATAACAAGTCAATGCAGACTGATTTAATATGATAAATGTGGTTTAAGGGTTTGAACCAGATAACTGGTTCAATTTATACCCAGAAAAGCATCCTAAACTCACTAATGAAAGCTAAACGAGTTAAAGACATCAGTAGTTGATGTTCCAGCAGTTGCAGAGTCATCTTGGTAGCTCAGAGTGAGGATCGTGACAATCTTATCAGATGCTTCACAGCCTCTACACCCTGAAAATCAGCTGCAGATAGCAGAATATATCTGCAACAAATTTCAACACGTTTTGTAATATTCATTTTGGTGTACTGGGATGCAAATTTATATTTCTTTGCTCTTTATTTTCTTTTGTCATCTCAGGGTTCTTAGAAGATCATTCAGAAAACTAATGTTGGATTTTAGCAACTTGCTGTGTTTATCCAGTGTTATAATGAATGGAACTCCTTAAGTTTGTAACTGACTAACGCTGAATAATATTCAGCATTAATCTCTTAAAGAATCTTGAGTTTTGAGGTAATCCCAAGGAAGATCCCACAGCAGCTGCAGCTTCAGGTCATCCTAGTTCATTACATAGTAAATACACAGCATGACGCACAGAAGGAGGTTGATAGCACGATGCTGTGGAGCCCCCACCCTTCCCTGGCTGCTGTCTGATAACACAGGGGAACAACAAGGCCAGGCCGTCACATCTCGTTTTCTCCTCCAACAGCAGAAATATTTACCTCCACTTGTTTCTTCTTTTTTTCATCTCAAGTTTTCAGCTGACGCAGGGACATAATGGTTGATTAAGAGACTCCACGTCTTTTGGGACCTCTTAAGTGTTGGATTTTTTTTTTCTACAGTTAATAAGTTTGTTGTTCAGGGCAGCAGATCGCCATGCTGTCCAAGAAGGAGAAGAAGCTGATTAAAGAAATTTGGGAAAGACTGACTCCAGTGGCTGAAGAAATTGGATCTGATGCTCTTCTTAGGTAGGATGAATGGTGGAGCGGATGCCTGTGCAGCAACGATTGCTCCCAACGACTTAAGATTGTGCAATGGACTGATGTGGCAAAGGGGCATTAAGACACCCTGTGAGAGAGAAACATCACATTTTAGGAGTAGAGGACTGTTATTGGATTACTCTTTTTAATCTGTAATCCAAAAACTTGGTATATTCTAAAGTAGTTACAGTTATCCTGGGAGATCAGCGACAGGTGCAGACAGGCTGTAACAGCTGCTGTAAGGCTTTAGGTTTTCAAACATCTCACATGACACATCTCGCTGTTTTGTTCTCCTACAGGATGTTTACTTCATATCCCGGCACAAAGACATATTTTTCCCATCTGGACATCAGTCCCGGCTCTACCCACCTGAATTCTCACGGGAAGAAGATTGTTCTGGCCATCGCAGAGGGGGCTAAAGACATCAGCCAGCTGACTGTCACTCTGGCTCCTCTACAGACGCTGCATGCCTATCAGCTCCGGATAGATCCCACCAACTTTAAGGTTCTGTCTCCAAAGTCTCTGAAGTTAGAAGGCGTACCTGCTAGAGTCTCCATTACCCGGTTAGGCCTTTTAGAAACTGTTCAACTCATTCAGCAGTGGTTCTAAAATCCAGATTGAACTGGGATTATTAGTTTTACTACACAAATGTCAAAGCTGGAGAGGATTTGAGGGGAAACAGTACTACAAGAACTTTGCTAAAAATAAACGAGACAGTTTCTTTGATAAATAACTTCATTGGAACGTGAACCAGAAATTCCCTCTTCCCAGGGTTGGGTGGAAGATTTAATGATTAGGAAGGAAGGGCTGTAGCCTAATCAATTGGGATCGGTTGACCAATCAGATGCAGATATGAAGCATATCTGAGGCCTGAGTGAATATTAATTTTTTTTTCTTCTTTGATAAAATCAGAAAAACACCTCTTTGATCCACAACCATAAAAATTGTTCACTCATCTGTTTTTTGATATGAGAGAAAACTGTTAAACTGGGTTGAGGTCGGTGTCCAAAATAAATATATTCTTTTAAAACCTGGTTTTACCAAAATAAAGAGGAACTGACCTCATTGGGGCATACCTTCAAAACATTATAGTCAGTTAAATACACATCATGTTTAAATATCCCAAATTAAGATGACTTTTATTGTATAAATACCATAAACAACTTGATATATTGATAGAAGCTATTGTACTAGATTTTTAAAGCACCTGAATGCAAACAGGTGCTATGCTTTGCAGGATTTTATTTTAATAATTTAATTCAACATTTGCATGGTTTTCTTCAATTTAGAATCTGTATACAAGTTTCAGCCAGTGTATCATACAAAATATGGTTGTGCAATTTTATTTTATTTTTGCACTAATCAACCTTGTTAATCTATTTAAACCAGCAAAATAAACTATGAGTTGCAGTGTAAAGAGGATGGGGTGAAAATTCAGGCTGTAATTTTGAGATTTGGTCTTAAACGAATACACAAATCCTCCCCTCCTTTCTACCTCAGTGCTGAGTTAGAGCTTAGAGATGAAGCTGCATATTTTGTTTAATATAAATATTCAAAATTTTAAATACCTGTTTGGAGCTTTTCAGTCTTTTTTTTTTTTATCTCACCACATATCAATGTTTACTTTACTCCTTCTTGTGGCAAAAAGGGGTATTACATGAAAATAATTTTAAAATAGTAAAAAAAATATATGAGTGCGTTTTTACAAAAAAATGCATAAAAGGAATTATTTTTATAACTATACTTTCTTAGACTTTTACTCTGACTGGTCCATCATACGATACAGTATTTTGAACAATTTAAAGTTGCCAAAAGCTTGGTTTTTAATCTTGTCTTTTGACAAAATCTAATGCAACAGAAACCTGATTTGATCATTTTATTTTTAATCTTTGTTATTTTCTTTTTTTGGTCTTTAACACCTGTTGTCTGTTTTTTTGTCGTCCTGCAGCTGCTTTCACACTGTATGCTTGTCACGTTGGCCTGTTACCTGGGCGAAGAGTTCACTCCGGTTGCACATGCAGCAATGGACAAGTACTTGTCAGCCTTCGCTGCCGTCCTCTCTGAAAAATACAGATGAGATTCATCCACCATTTAAGTAAATACAGGTCCTTCTCAAAATATTAGCATATTGTGATAAAGTTAATTATTTTCCATAATGTAAAACTTGAACATTCATATATTTTAGATTAATTTCACACTAACTGAAATATTTCAGGTCTTTTATTGCCTTAATACGGATTATTTTAGGATACAGCTCCTGAAAACCTCAAATTCCTATCTCACAAAATTAGCATATTTCATCCAACCAATAAAAGAAAAGTGTTTTCAATGCAAAAAAGTCAACCTTCAAATAATAATGTACAGTTATGCACTCAATACTTGGTGGGGAATGCTTTTGTAGAAAAGACTGTTTCTGATATGGAGGCCCAGGATGCTTCGATAGCGGCCTTTAGCTCATCCACAGTGTTGGGTCTTGCGTCTCTCAACTTTCTCTTCACAATATCCCACAGATTCTCTATGGGGTTCAGGTCAGGAGAGTTGGCAGGCCAATCGAGCACAGTGATACCATAGTCAGTAAACCATTTACCAGTGGTTTTGGCACTGTGAGCAGGTGCCAGGTCATGCTGAAAAATTAAATATTTTCCATCTGCAGAAAGCTTTTCAGCAGATGGAAGCATGAATTGCTCCAAAATCTCCTGATAGCTGCATTGACCCTGCCCTTGATAAAACACAGTGGACCAACACCAGCAGCTGACATGGCACCCCATACCATCACTGATTGTGGGTACTTGACACTGGACTTCTGGCATTTTGGCATTTCCTTCTCCCCAAGTCTTCCTCCAGACTCTGGCACCTTGATTTCCAAACGACATGCAAAACTGAGCAACAGTCCAGTGCTGCCTCTCTGTAGCCCAGGTCAGGCGCCTCTCCCGATGTTTCTGGCTCTGAAGTGGCCTGGGGAATGCAGCACTTGTAGCCCATTTCCTGCACACGCCTGTGCACAGTGGCTCTGGATGTTTCTACTCCAGACTCAGTCCACTGCTTCCGCAGGTCCCCCAAGGTATGGAACGGGCCCTTCTCCACAATCTTCCTCAAGGTCCGGTCACCTCCTCTCATTGTGCAGCGTTTTCTGCCACACTTTTTCCTTCCCACTGAGGTGCCTTGATACACCACTCTGGGAACAGCCTATTCGTTCAGAAATATCTTTCTGTGTCGTACCCTCTTGCTTGAGGGTGTCAATGATGGCCTTCTGGACGGCAGTCAGGTCAGCAGTCTAACCCATGATTGGGGTTTTATGTGTTGAACCTAGCTGGGAGTTTTAAAGGCCTCAGGAATCTTTTGCTGGTGTTAATTTGTTGATTCAGATGATTAGGTGCATAGCTCATTTAGAGACCTTTTTCATGATATGCTAATTTTGTGAGATAGGAATTTTGGGTTTTCGTGAGCTCTATACCATCATTATATGTATTAAGACAATAAAAGGCTTGAAATATTTCAGTTAGTGTGCAATGAATCTAAAATATATGAATGTTCAAGTTTTATCATTACATTATGGAAAATAATGAACTTTATCACAATATGCTAATATTTTGAGAAGGACCTGTGTTTATTAGTATTAGTATTTTCATGGAGTTTTATTATAATAAAGATCTACAGTATACATGTGTCATTATTTATTGTTGTTATTGCATAGTAATAATTATTTCATAGTTCAAAAACTGGGTTTGTATCTGTCTTCTGAAAACGCTTTGTTAAATCATATGTTTGCACAATAATTTCTAGTTTCATGAACAGCTTCTGCCTCACTGTTAATGTGATTATGTGGTTAATTTTATTTTACAATTTTAGATTATTTCCTTTGCAAAGCACGAGGTTAACGTGAAATTTTGAGCTGTGTGTAAAAGTTAAAGTGCTGAATCCTCTATTAGTACAACCTACTAAAGTAACACCTTTTGAAGATGAGAATATAAGCAAGAAAAAAACTTTAATAATCAATACAGATATGATCAGATTGAAAACAAAATTGTATTTATTTAATGTTATTTATAAAAAAAGGTTTGGTTCTTAGTTGCTTTATATTACACTTACTTTAGATGACATGTTAAATTGACTTTATTTACAGAAGATACTAAACTATGCAGTTGTGAAAAAGGAAATGTAAATTGGAAAAAAGATGTCTGATCTAATGGGGAAATTCTCTAAATAAAAAAAACAAAAAAAAAAACAGATTTATTAGACCTTAGTACAGTAATGCAATGATAATGTACAAACCAAAAAATAATGTCTATCCAAACTTTGTTCAAAAGTACAGCAAGTAAAGAGAGAAATGATGCAGATATTTAAAGCAAAGTACTGCTTCTAGAGTACCAAGAATGTATACTTGAGTAAGAATAGCATTATTTGACATTTTTTTCACTAAAGCAAAAGTATAAAGGTAGTCATATAAGAATTTGATCAAGTAAGAATAAAAAAGTATTTGGTTAAAAAGACCATCTGAATACTTGTTGGGTCATAACATCTTACTTAATATTTAGAAATCTGACATTATGTGCAATAAATGGTACAGTAAAGACTGAAATATGTAAAGCTAAATGAATAAATAAATGATATGGTTTCAATATAACAAGTCCCTGCTGAAGAAATGCTTTTCTAAATTCTATTTCTTCAACAAAAACCTAACAAAACAAACTCTATCTTTGATTAATGCATTTATAAATTAGAGCGAGGTAAAGTACTTCTGATGATATTGACTGTTGACTGTATGTTTGGGTGATCATTGAATAGCTCAACTTACAATGGAGAGGGTAGCCAGTAACTTTACTCAAATAGTAATATCGAAACTTTGCACGACTAATACTCATAATACTTTTTTCCCCCTGTCTGGCAATGTGGCAATAAGAAACATTGTGTTGATGCCAAAAAAAAGCCGAACAGATTTTCCTTTTACAAGTGGAGCAGTATGGCTATCGCCGTGTGTTCCGCTTGATTTATGCATGTAAATAGCTTTTTTATAATTCATGCAGGGAGTATTACAGATTATATGGACACTGCAATGTAAATAGAACAGGAAAGGAAAGCAGGAAAAAGGAGAAACGACGAAGGAAAGAGGAGATAAAATGGAGACAATGATAAAACATCTTCAGTCTGCTTCATAACCGGCAAAGAGATGTAAAAAGAACAGCATAACCAACGGACATAGTATAAGAGATACAATTGATACCATCGCTAAAGTATAAGTAGTATTATTTCATCTGACATGTATACTTTGGTAGCTAAAAATAAGAATAGGGACTTTCTGTGTGGAAGTGAATCTCTAAGTACCTGGAACCAAGCAGCTGCAGTTGTTTTTTAGAGTGCACTTGTACATGTAAAGTTTATCCAAGAAAAAGTATAGTAGAGGAAAATTACTCCCACTAAAAGTACGTTCCAAAATATTAAAGTAACGGAAAACATGTAAACTAGTTAATATCAGAAAGTGGTGAAAAAAGAAGGCGTGGTTAGATTTTTATCATATGAAGTTATGTTTGTGATAGATCAAATTACATACAATTGTAGTGTATTATATCATTATTTCATATGTATTTAGGTCATTTGTTCTTGTTCCTTAATGGAAAATGTTGTCAATGTATTTCAATATCAGTGTTACCCATTTGTTGGCTGGCTGAGATTGGTCTAATGAAATAGATGTGAAGGTTTTTCAGGTTATTCAATTTTAGTCTTTATCTGGAGACCCCAGCTAACAGTATTAATTATTTTAGTAGGAACTGTAGAACTGTGTATTCAAACGTATTGAACCATTAATACATTTACATGCTTAATCAATAAATAGCTTAACTGGTGGAATTGTGGCACTCTTGGCTTTCCATGTTTGTGAGGCACTTTGCATACCTAACCAGATCCTAAACTGGGTCCTGATTTCACAGATACACGGCACAGACTGAAAATATTTGCTGCATGTTCTCTTTACTTTTTTACTCTCATTAATGGGTGTAGAAGGGCTTCTGTGAGGTGATTGTTAAGAAGGGAGATCTTGTGAAGTCAAAATCAACACAGCCTTTTTAGACATGCGGTGCAATTGCACCCTCTTCTGATTCTTGCTGGTATGACTTCATCATCTTGTAAACTATTCATCTTTCTGAGGCGTGATAAATATGATCTGAATCTATCATTTTGCTTAAAATGATCCAAGATTTTCTTATTGTCTCCATTTGTTAGAATATTTCTGGATCTTTTACATCTATTTAAGAGAATGAGTTTCATAAAGTAAAATAAATTAAGCATATTTCACTTATTTATTTATATGCAAGTTGAACAAAGCATTTTAGTGCCTTTTGTGCACAATATCAGTTTTTTGATACAATTTTCTGTTCCTTTTTTAATTTCATACTGTAATACATTGACCTTTGTTTGCCAAGTTCGAAGTGATGTTTACAATTTGTCCTACTTTTTATTGCTAGTCAGTCATCAAGCTACATTCAGTCATGGAGTTTTTTTTATATAATCTTCATCTCAACTCCTGTAAAAATGAACACATGTTGCTTGGAGTAAAAAGGATCATAGATCAATAGAATTAGACTTTAACAACAATACACCAGTAAGGCTAGAAGACTGTAGAGGAACAAGTTAATATCAACACAAAGCAGACATCTCTAAAAAGTTTATACTTTCTTCATTCAAAATATTTTTAAAAAACTACCGGTACAAAAGAATTGGATCATTTTCTGAAAACCCAGCTATCCAACTCCATCAAAGATCCATATATAAAGAACCAGAATGAATG